AAAGAATATAATCTCATGGGTGAGAAACAAAAACAATTAAGAGGACTACTATTTAAGTGACACATGAAAAAAAGGCAAAGCAGAGCGCAGATGTGGAACACTTACACATAGATGGGGATGAGAGAAGGTCATATTGGAGTTGGGTCTTGAAAGAGTAAGTTTGTCAATTCATGAAGGCAAGGAAAATTCTAGACGAAAGAAACCAATGCTTATATGAGCAAAGGCAAAAAGGAATGTGAATCGGCAGTGTGTTTCAGAGGACCAAATAGTTCAGTGTGAAGACTACTGGGAAAAGTGACCAGAACCAAACAAGTGAGGTAATTTTCAAAAGAATTTAATTTTCAAGTGCAGGAGATCATATGCTTTATGATATCTGATGGATAGCACTGAAGGATTTAAACGAGATTTTATGTTTATGATATAAGTTCCATTGACAGCATTTTGATAAATGAAGGGCATTTTCCATTTATTCTTCTTACATTAATTAAATACCTCCTATGCTTCTGATTCATATGTGTATGAAAGCTGGACAATAAACAAGGAAGACCAAAGAAAAATTGATGCCATTGAATTACGGTGTTGGCAGAGAATACTGAAAGTACCATGGACTGTCTGAAGAGCTAACAAATCTGCCCTGGAAGAAGTGCATCCAGAATGCTCTGTGGAAGCGAGAATGACCAGAACTGTGTCTCACCTCCTTTGGTCATGTTGTTGGAAGGGACCATTCCCTGGAGAAGGATGTCATGCTCGGTAAAGTGAATGGTCAATGAAAAAAGGGAAGACCTTCAATGAGATGGATTGACACAGTGGCTGCAGTGATGGGCCCAAGTATAGCAAGGATTGTGAGGATGGCACATAACTGGGCATTCTTTCATTTTGTTGAATATAGGGTCACTGTGAGTCAGAGCCAATTTGACAGCACCTAACATGGCACATAACTACAACAACAACAACAACATGCCTCTGACTGTGGTATTGCAGAATAATATTGAATAAACTGTGGATTACCGTAAGAACCTACAAATTAGTTTTAGAAGAAATACAACTAGAGTGTTCCTTACAAGTGAGGATGGACAGACTTTGTTTTTTTTATTTGAGACATGTCATCGGGAAAGACCAATCTTGGTAAAGTATCCACCACCACTACTGGTTGCTATCCAGTTGATTCTCATGACCCCATGAGTTTCAGAGTAGAACTGTCCCAAAGGATTTTCATGTCTGTGACTTTTCTGGAAGCAGATCATCAGAATTTTCTCCCAAGGTCTTTCTGGGTAGGTTTGAACAAGCAGACTTTCAGTTAGTAGCCACATGTTTAACTGTACCACTCAGGGGCTTTTGGTAAAGAAGAGGGTGAACAAAAATGAGAGAAATCTTCAATGACATGAATTTATACAATAGCCAAAACAATGGACACAAACATACCAATGATTATGAAGATGGCGCAGGATCAGGAATATCTTATTCTATTGTACACAGGTCCTCACAAGTCAGAGCCAACTTGACAGCATATTTCTGACACATACCAGATTTTGCAGAAACACCAACGCATAACAAATTGTCAGTCAGGAAAAGTTACAGTATAGCAGAGGAAACAGTCATAAAAAAAAAAAAAAAAAAACCTCCTAAATCAGTAATTATGACAATCATTATCCACAAAAATACAATTTATATAAAATGAACCTTATGTGAAAAGCACTCTATATATGTCTCCCATGTATTCTCCCATTTAGCATTCACAAAAAAGGACCAACTACTACTACTGAGTAGGTTTCTATGAGTCAAACTCATAAGCCACAGGCTTTTTATGATATCATTTTACAGATAAAGAAATTAAGGTTTAACATAGGTAAATGATTAGCCCAAGGTCAAACAGCTAGTGATTAGGAGGCCTAGGATTCAGAACCTACTTATCTGATTCTTATTCATAGCTCTCAATTATGAAGATTCTTGGTAAAATCAATTCACTTGTGAGAAGATGGTGAATTAATATGTGAATGAAGTCTTGAGGAAAAAATAGAAGCTTATGGAGAAGATAAAGGGGTAAATCCTAATATATGGCACATTTTATTGATGTAAAAAAATGTAGTGATATTAAAATCCTAAATATATATTAATGTATGATTTTGATTATGCTAAGTCAGGCAAATGTATACTAATAAAATCAGTCATTGAATTTTTTAATGTTTAATACTCTATCCATAAGCCAGAGAGGATTTAAAATTTGCATGCACACATCAGCTAAAACAACATCTGATATATTTTAAAATTCTAAAATTTAAGATCTTTCCATGAACTTCACAGATGACTAAACTCATATCACATGTTTTATAAAGGCTGTAGTCTCTGGGTGGCATCAATGGTTAACACATTTGGCTGACAACAGAAATGTGGGAAGTTTGAGACCACGCAGAGGCACCTCAGAAGTAATGCTTGGTGATCTACTTTCAAAACATCACCATAGACTACTGTAATGAGCACAGTTCTACTCTGACACATATGGACTTGCCTTAAGTCAGAAGTGACTTGGAGGCAACTTTTTTTTTTTTTTTAATAGTTAAAATCACATGTCAATCACATTGGTCAAATGACTTGAACATTTCATTATCGAATAAATTCCTACTAGATTGGAACGAAGGTGCTTCTTTGTTTGGTCCAATGTTATAATTAGGTATTCTTAGGCACAACATAAATAGGATCTCAGTTTATTAACCATCCTAGGAAATAACATGAACACTTGTTATGAGTCAATTTCCGGATAACTGACATTGAATACATCCATAAAATGTTGCCATAGAGTTAGATCATAAATGAACTTGTACCATATGCAATAAGATCACAGATTTTAAAAAGCAAACCTACAGGGTAATGGAGTAAATTAAAATGTTTCCCTCAGTGTTTTCCAATTTATGTCATGTCTATGCCATAGACAACTGTCCAGCTACAAAAAGGAAGTGAGCCAAGGAAAGAAAACAGGAGCATAGGATTTACAAAGGAGTTTAGGTACAGTGATAGTTAGACTGAATTGACTAGGCGGATATGAGGTCAAAAGGAAGCAATGACGGTAATTGTCTGTCAAACAAGAAAATGCAGTAATAATAGAAGTATGGAAATGGCAAAACCTGTGATTAGCTGATACAGAAATCAGAAAACCTCTTACATTCTCCAAAGAGAAAAGACAACTTTATGTTATGCTCAATTCAGTCCCAGTGAGTGTTACTGAATAAAGAAGAAAGGAATCAAAAATATGAGATTCTGAAAATCTCATATGACTTCTAAACAAACTCATGTTCAGTGACATAAGTAATTATTTTGCATATAAAATGCACAACACATGACAATGCTGAGCAATATTTCCCTAGCTGATCCCTCCTCAAAGTAGGCTAAAGTGGAATTAATAAAAAATTAACTCAGTGTATCTTAATATCACTTTTGTAGATACAGATGATTTTTAAAAGGCCATTCAAAATCCACAGGGTTTAACGATTTCATACCTTCTATCAGGACCTGATGCTTAGACTTGGAAATGAGTAAAACTCTTGGGTAAGCTTAACCTCTGAAAGGATTCCTGCAACTGCAGCAGAATTAGAATAATAAAGCTTTTCATCAACTTGCTGAAAGCCAGGGTTGTCACAAAACTATCTTCATGGGATGTAGCTTTCATTCCTTACATTGACTTGGCACCCAGACCAAACCCCTATTCATTCTGCATCCACAACAGTTCTCAATTTGCATTGCTCTCTCTTCCCAATGGTTCCATTTGCCAGGATGTGATGTTACTTTGCTAAGTCTGGCTCCCAACTCTGGTCCATGGAGAGCTTGCTTCTCAAACAAAGAATGTCCGCAAAACTCAAGCTGAACTGTTAAACATTATTTTAAAAAGTTATTTCACTCTAACATTATTTTAAAAAGATTTCTCATATATACATATATATATATATATGTTTTTTTTAAATAATGTACATATATAGAGAGAATATATAGACATATACATACACATATATATGTACCTACACACACACACACACACACACACACATATATATATGTACTCTGCATTTACTTCTTATCACAAATAGTGACTTAGGGACTTGATTCAGTTTATTAAGTTCTAAAATACATCTTAAATTGTATTTATTCCAATCGGTACTGGAATAAGAGTAGTCTAAGTACTATAGACCTAAGCCTCTCCTTAAATTACTTATAGCTTAAGCATCTGCTAGTCATGTTGGCATAGTGTATGCTGTAATGCCTCATATCAATTTTCACTTAGGATTTTGATGTTGTTGCTGTTGTTGTGTTGTTATGTGTCGTCGAGTCAGACCTAACTCATAGCAACCCCTCTTTGGGTTTCCATGGTGGTATCACTACTGAAGTAGATTGCCCAACCTTCCTTTCAATGAAGGGCTGGTGGGTTTGAAGCACCAGCCTTCTGGTTCGCAGTCAAGTGGCTTAGGCACTACACTACCAGAGCTCCTAGGATTTTGATGCTAGCAAATATAAATGTTAACTGCTGGGTTACAATTGAAAACCAGTCAAGAAATAATCAAGAAGAGGTTACTGCTCCCTATCCCCAGAAAAAAAAAAAAAAGTTAGATCTTGTTTTCCCTAGTAAAAAAACACAATGTGCTTATATCTGTCCAGTTTAGTCACACACACACACACACATGCATGTTTACCCATTAAATAACCAAATCACATACTTGCATGGAACAAGAATATCCAATGGCTTACTTGTGAGCTATAAATTTAAAAAGAAAAAAAAAATTCAGTCTGAATAGATGAAATCAAATGGGTATATGATCGATCAGGATGAGCATGAACAGAATAAACACAGTTACATGAAGATTGACCTGATAGAAAACAAACCCTGAAAGATGAATATTGATTACTCTTATTACTTCTTCTCACTGTAAGTAGATGACATAAGGCATAAATACAGAGGGTTTTTTTTTTTTTCTCTTTTTTAACAGTGATTTTATTGCTCAAGTATATACACAAATTTATGCAACCAGGGCAGAGACTGTGGATGATTCGTATTTCCAATTGGGAGGGAGCACTCTGTTTTATAACATGCCAATTGGTAAATTCAGCTCTTAATCAGAATCAGATGGAATTTAGCATCCTTATCCTTTCTGTCCCTGTCAAGATGTTTTTGAACAGTGATAGCTTTCTTAATTAAATGGTAGAGATCCTCAGGAAGGTCAGGAGCAAGTCCTTTGGACTTAAGGATTCTCAAGATTTTATTGCCTGTCACAAAATGTACTTGTGCAACACCACGTGAATTTCTTAGGATCACACCAATTTGTGATGGAGTCAGGCCCTTCTTGGCCAGTTTGTAGATCTGCTGCTTCATGTCATCAGATGTCAGTTTCAGCCAAGTGGGGGCTCTGCGGTGATAGGGCAGTGCCGACTGGGACAGGACCTTCCAAGGAGCATGCATGTGACCCATGATGGTAGAATACAGGGTTTCTTATAAGAAAGAGATTTGCAAGAAGGATCTCTAGTGTGTTTAAATTTACAATCCCTGCTTTTTTAACTTGATGCTAGTTGAGATAATTGCTTCCTTCTCCAAGGATCTCTTTTATTGATTCTGAGACAAAATATGTCACGAAAATGCCTAGCAATCTGGTAGGCCCAGGGACAGATATCCACTCTGGCTATCTAAAATGAATCCTCAGTGAAGACTTTCTTATCATCATCTTAGAAATTCTTCTCTGCTATAACTGCTATAATCCTCTCGACATTATTCTAGAGGGCTTATAAGGTTTATATTTGAAAGCTCATTTAAAGGATAACAGAGTGATGATATTAATAGGCATGAGTAGTTGCGGACTGTGTTTCTATTTTGTATTTATATCAATGAAGTGTTTATGTGGCCCTAAAAGAGAATTAAAGAGATTTTCCAACTCCATGTGCAATAAACACAATGTGAATACCTCATGCATTTCTAATAATGAAATAATGACATACAGAGTTCAACATTTTACAAGGAGTATTTAAAGTCATGCTACTTTAAGAATTCATGGATAAATATGTCCAAATAGGCTTATATACATAGATACAGGTTATATGGTAATGAGAATAAATCAAGGTGAAATGCATTTTATCATACTTGTGAGTGCTTCAGAAAGCCATTAAAAAATGGTTTTGTTCTTATCATTACTTAGATAATGATCCATTAAACACAAAAATATGATACTCTATGCATTACTTTTCTCATATGTTCAAATAGCATGCATTTATGGACTTTTCAAAGTTCCACATAAGCTCTACAAAAGTTTATGTGGAATCTAAGAAGATGTAGATCAAAGTATTTCAGCCTCAGTAACTGAAGGCAGTCTCTGATGGGAATGACTAGTGTGTGTCCTTTGAGAAAGGGAAACACTGGTGCATGTAATGTAATAAAAATAAATAAATAAACTGCCTCACATTTTCAAAAGAGTCTGTAATGAAGGGTCATGACATAACATATTCAGGCAAGGCATTTCACTAGAAAGTGTTTTCTAAAGCATGAAAGTGCTTAGGGGAACAATAAGCATTTAGCTTAAAGGTAACATAGACAAAGATTAACCTCACATCTTGAAAATCAGCTAATTTGTAGATACAGTGCAAGTACTTGACAAAGGCATTGGCAGAACTTCCTTGGGAAGTAATTGCAGGTTAAGGTCACGGCTAAGCTATGCATCCTGGGTTATTGCTTTTGCGTAATACTGAATGCACAGTTAACTCAACAAATAAAATGTTTTGACCTATCTTTTGCATAAAGAGCTGAACAGCCACAACATCAAATAGCTTTAACTAGCACTTACTTGTTAAGCCAGATGAATTGTGGGAAAATATCAAGAACATTATCCATGAAGAAAGCAAGAGATCACTAAAAAGACAAGAAAAGAAGAGAAGACCAAAGTGGATGACAGAAGAGACTCTG